CTCCCTCCACCCCTTCCTGAAAGCACTTCCCCAATTGGAGTGACTCTAAAAAGCAAAAGTGCAAGAGAGAATGTTTACATCTACACAAAACAATATAGTCCCATGTATTGGTACCCAAAATAGCTCTGAACAAGCTAGCTCGGATACTGGAAGCACTATGGCTGCATTAGTACAGCACTCCAATCCAACTAATTTATGTGGCTAATGCAGTCATCAGAGCTGTCCCTAGGGGTGTGCAGGGCCTGGGGGATATCGGCCCATGTGGGGCTGAGGGGTGGAGAGTGGCCGGAGGAGGGGCAGGGGTGGCAAGGGGGGTGGGGGTGGCAGGCCCTGTATGGCACAGTCCACGGGGCCCAGGGCAGTTGCCTCAATTCGCACCCCACCCTCCCTGGGATGGCCCTGGCAACTGTACTGCTTCTGATATGCAAGCTAGGTCTAAATGGCTTTGCACTATGCTGTGTTGTTGATTTTATATGGTATGCCTAGAGACTTTATTTATTCAGTTTACAAGCCACCCTTCCCAACAAGGCTTAGGATGACTTAACAAGAGAAACAGAATACTTGTTTTTATAAGACAACAACAAAACAACTAAAAGGGGAATTAGTGGACAACATTGGACAGATATACCCCCTCCCTGAACAATATATCTGTCTCTATCTAGCTTTTTTTGCTAAATGCCTGCCCAAATAAGGTCTTAAAGTGCTTCTGGAAGTTGTCCAGGCTTGGGCTCTGGTGGCCTTCAAGAGGGAGGAACTGGGGAGCAACTAGTGAGAATGGCCTTCTACATATTTTCAGCAAGGGGACCTGATCTGAACGATGGAATTTGTGAAGGTCCAAGTGCAGCAGAGGACCCAGGTTGTGAACTTATGTGCAAGGGGAGGCTGAACCCCATCAGTGATGGTTGTTCTGGCTCTTCCTCTCCCTACCCTCTCCTGAGGTCAAGCCCACCACTATTGCTTCTGTCTCAGCTAGGTGCAGTTTCAGTTGGTTTATCTGCATCCAGTCCCCAGCTGCAACCAGGAGGCATACATTTCTAACATATCTTTCTTGTCTTTGGTTACTTCTGTTTATCACTAAAACTGCATCAAAACTGAAAAAGCAAGTAAGGCAGGGCTTTCCAACTGGCAGGTCATATGCAGCCTGTGAAGAGTTAACACCCAGCCCATGAGCTCCCACTTGACCACTGCTCCTGCTGTCACTGGGGTCTCTCCAGGCTCCCTTTGTGCTCCAGGTTCTGCTTCCTGTCTTGCCCTTAGAGATGGGGCAGCATGGCCTGCAGGGGCCCAGAGAGGGAGAGAGGAAGAGGGCCAGCACAGTATTTGGCCCCCCAGTCACTCAGAAGTTGTACAGCTGTGAATCAAGCCAGAAACTTCAAAGAGAGTCTAAAAAATCCTAACCTCATCTGTGGCATATTTGACCTTTTTGTTGAAGGAGGAGCCCATGGATACAGACCAGAGTAGTAATATGCTGAGTTCTATTCAGTCAGAAGTTGCAAAATACCAGATGCTAATTGATGAAGAGAACCAAAAATTAAAAAGATACAAGGTATGTGGAGTTTTTTTTCTTCTCAGATTAAAACTGTTAGAAGGATCATAATAAAAAGCCAGTATGATGTGTGGTTTTCACATTAGAGCTGGAGAATTTAGAAGAGTGTTAGCCAGTTCCAGTCTTTCTTGCCATCTACAGGATACTCTTTTTCTCCAGGGAATGCTTGGAAAACTGAAGGATGACTTAAGTAACAACTTTGTTTTTGTTTTTAAATCTTTAATCTTTGTGAAGTACAAAATGGAGGATAATGATGATTATTTGTTTTAAATAATGAGGTGTACCTTCAAAGGTGACATTTGAATAGAAACCTTTTGTAATGGTTCTGCATAGAATACAGTCACTTTTTTTGGATTTCTTCATTTAAACCTTTTCTACCTAGCAGGTTTTGCAACACAGCATTTCCATTAATGTCTGAAATTTTAATTTTCAGATTGAAAATATTAGAAGAAAACATAATTACTTGCCTTTCATCATGGAATTGTTAAAGACTTTAGCAGAACACCAACAGTTAATACCACTAGTAGAAAAGGTGAGGGTTTTCATAATTCTTTTTAAGAAATAATTCTGCATGCATAGTTTCTTATACTTGCTGTTTGAATAGACATGTAGCTGCATTTTTAAATTAGATAAATTAAATTAGAATTGCAAGCAAAAGGCATTTTATTTGCTTAAAATGCTACATACAGTTAAATTGCTGGCTAATTATGGAATTTCTTTCCCTCTAGTTGTAATTACACATATAGGAGGTGGACACTAATGTACTGAGGCCCCAGGCATCTTCTGCCAGAATGTCTTAGCCATGCACATTAATCCTGAGACATTACTATGTCAAGTCTGAGGGAAAAGAATAGGAAAGGCTAAATTTGTCATATGACTAACTCTGAAACATAATCCATTTTTTTCCTGAAAAGTACTTAAAATTTCTTATATCAATGATGTGCATTGGCAGCCCTGTTACGTGCTGTCAGAAGTGTCTGATGAAGTTTGAGTAGGACTTTTACATTCCAGACATTCTAAAAGTTATGTATTCAAGGCTTATAACTTTGATTTAGCAGATCTGAAAATCGGATTCAGATTGCTATGCCCAGTTGTTAGGTCTAGCTGAGAACACTAGGTGGCAATGCATACACAGAAGAATTTATACAGTACAGCACGCAGTAGATTTCTGCTCCTTTCATTTGCTGTTTCCTGCTTCTACATCTGCCAGTTCATTGTTTTTTCCTACTTCCAGCTGTTGACCCAGTTATTGACCCTAATTCATTGTTGAGGTTTAAATTGAAGCATGTTTAAGCAAAGTATGTAACATGGCCATTGTCACCCTGGGAGGAATATAAAACTGCTAAAGCAGTGACCTTATTGGGATTCTTATTACATTATGGGTTAGCATTTAGGAACCCGTAGTATAGTAAAATGAGACGATGTCCAGCTTGCTATTCTTTACTGTTGGGTTAAACTTTACAGAACTGTAGAGCATACCAGTTTCCTGCGTTACGTCCTTTAGAGGAAACTTGTTATACCCATTCAACATCGTGGGCTATTTTCTATCATACCTTTTATACAGGGCAGTTCGTCGTCACCCCCCCCCCCCCCCCCACTCCCCCC